TTTTTTTAATATTATTACTATTAATATTACAATAGTACTTAGAATTCCAGATCAAGTGCTAGCAGTGGACAATAACTGTCTACCCCCAAAGAATTTACAGAACATAGGATAAAGGTTAATGTTGAGCATTTTCTTGTTCCAATATACAACTGTCTATTAGGCCACAGTATAGGCCTTTTGTTATTTATACTGCTCTTTCAACAAGAAACTACCTGCTGTAGGTGGCACCTGTTTCACTTGAGTCCAGCCATCTGAAAATTAGATATTTGGCATAAGCTGCTGATCTAGAATACTTCTCTTGTCAGTAGGACAGGAACACACTTCCAGAGGATGATTCTTCCCATCCCTAGGTGGTGTAAATGAGCAATATCCTGGATGTGACCCTCTCCAAGTGACCAGAATCTTTCTCCTGTTGTAAAACATTTTTCTAAAGCCTCATTATATGACAGGCTGACTAGAGACAGAATCTGTACAAAAGACTCTTAGAAAGATATGCTGAACTAAGTCTTAGATGAATAAAAGTAGACAAAATTAATACTATAGAGGTCCAGGTCTGAAATTTTTATAGAAATAATCCCATTGGCTTTGATTTGTGTTTGCTTCACACAGTGCCATAATTCTACTGCCAAAATTTCTAGTTGTGTCTAATACCCTGTAATAAAAAAAGATAATTTTCAGAAGGGAATAACAAAAAAGTGAAATCAGTCTATGACACGAGTGTGTTATTTTATTTTTTAGACCTACACAAATCAAGAAGTTCTAATACTTTTTAAGCAACTACACTTATAAGGAAGTTACACAATTAAATAAATAAGAGCATTCTATTTTGAGAAGAATAGCACAACACCCATATTTTCCTCATTAGGATTTCAGTTTTGGTGATTCAGAAATGGACAACATCTACAAATAATCATCAGGGGACTGATTACAAGCACTTGGATTACTAAGTTCCCTCTGGGGTCTGTCCTAAATAGGTGGTTCTCAGTTTGTGAAGTTTATGCCACACAGCAAGGATATTTTCCTTTTGGAAATATGTTTTGATGTGAGCATTTTTAGTCATGTTCACTGCAACATCAACTTCAAGTCAGGAATTGCACACAAGCCTAGACATGAGGTATGACACTTGAACCCTACACTAACCATGCGCATTAGTTAAAAAAGGTAATGCTTACAGTGTCTGTAAGAGTATCATATATTATATGTAACAATAATGGTTTCCTTGTTTAAAAAACCAGAAAGCTGCCTTTGCTACCACATTGTCCTTATGATTCATTACTAAGTATTACCTTGTAAAATTAAAATTCAGTGAAAATGTCTTTCAAGTGCAGAGTCCTCCACTTGTGTTATTTCTGTTACTACGCTTATGGTTTCAAAGGTCTTTTTTCCCTTTCTTCTCTTCATAGGAAATGATCTGTTTCTAGTTGCAGTGCATGAACTGGGACATGCCCTGGGCTTGGAGCACTCTAATGATCCCACTGCAATCATGGCTCCATTTTACCAGTATATGGAAACTGACAACTTCAAACTACCTAATGATGATTTACAGGGCATCCAGAAGATATACGGTACGTCATTAAGCAACAAGTTTTTTGCTTTAGAATATATTTGAGGTCCTCCTGTCCATACCACCTCTCCAAAAGAGTTTCTTAGCGTAGACTCTGCCGAGTTGCTATGCCGGATGTCTTCTTGTGAGTAGGCCAAAGATTTTGATGAAGCTTTTTTACTTTGTTTCTCACTGTTCACAACTTACATTCAAATTTTCACTCAGGTGGAATAGTAATTTTAAATGTTTTAAAAAGCCATAAAGAAAATGTCTGCAAAAGGATCCCAAATTATGAAAATATTAAGAAACACAGTCCTTTAACCATAACGAGCTTATTTCTACAGTCGTCCAAGCTCATGTAACTGGATGAATTGATTGCTTCTCAGTTTATCAGTTATAATACTAAACAGTTCCCTGGGTGTACAAAATATGTGTTCCCAGAAAAACCCTTTCTTGTGATAAATATAGCAAACTGATCTCAAAAGAATGTTATTACTAGCCCAAGATTTTGAGCTACCTATGAGGAAAAAGGCGCACTTTTTTAAAATATGTTTGTTTAGGGGTTTTGTGGACTGATATAAAAGACACATGTGATGTAAATAAATTCTGCATGTATTGAATTCAATTTGACAAGTCAAGGTAATTGAAAATTAAAAAAACAAAACAAAACAAAACAATAATATTGTTCTGATTATGGGTTGAATGTAGCACTAACTCCCATATTACTGTTCCTTACATTTCCAAAGACATGGTTTTGTTCTTGGTTTTAAAGACTTTGATTCTGTTGGTGTCTGTTAAATAGTCTGTTTTTTTCTTTAAAAATATATTTTATTTTTCTCTCCTACAGTGAAAAATCTGTGGTATCTGTATGTTAATGCTATGTATCCAGCACATATCATTTGGAATTGTCTTGCTTAATATTCCCCAATTAATTCTGTATCGGATTCAAATCTGTGCTTACAATTATTTTCAGTTTAAAGGTTATTTAGGTTTATATTGAATATTATCAGGGCCATTCCTTGTTTAACTTTACTACTAGAAAGGACAAGTATGATCATGTAGAATTACTGTACTACTAACTAGAACTCTGCAGCCTCCATGGTGTTTTATATTAACACACTTTTTAAAATATTATATTAACAAGCACTGATATATATTTTCATAAAGTATAAATAGCAATTTCAAAATGATTGGCTGATCAAGTTTTGTTTGATTGTTTTTTTTCCTGTATGATTAGCTGGAAGGAAGGTTGTTTCTCATGACCTCATAAGTTGGTAGTCTAGACTTAAGGGCTAGACAAGAATACTTTGCTGAAAACTAACTGCTAAGCTCTAACAGCTGTGGGCTATACATTAAGAGAAATGTGTTACCCTTGGGAAGTAATATCTGACATCACCACCAAATGGCATATGAAAACATTGGTTTGGGGTTAAAAACTTTCCAACATGAGCTACTGCAAACTGATTCCTTTGCTCCCTTTAAAATCAAGAGGTGATCTGGAATCATATGCCTCAATAAAAATGTCACACCTATTAAAATAATTACTTTGGTCTGCAGTATTCCTTGAAACACCATTATTAACTGTAAATTATAAATGTTGCAAGCCTGAAAATCATGAATGAAATAAATGCCTTATTAAATTGTATGACAACCATTTGACAAGTTTAATATTTCTTTACATAGTCCATCTTGTTCTTTAAAAAGTATACTTTTTTTGAAAAAGTATCAGAAATTCAAATGCTATTTATGCAGTTTTAGAGTAGTCTTGTTATTCAAAAGTCTTTCTGAAGTTGGTAATGCAAATGATATTTATTTTTTAAAAGTCAAAATTGATTACGTATTTAAATGATTTGGAGAGAGGCCTAAATAGAATAAGCAAAATCAAAGTGTTCATCTTGTTTCCAGAAATCTTACTAATCCAGCTGAAACTTCATATCTTTTTGTACATGGAAAATATAAGTACACGTAGTAATATCTGTAGAAAGGGAAAGGCATTTTTAGTACACCCATTGCTAGTCATTCAGTATACCATTAGGGTTATGAACAGCATCTGTCTAGGATGGACTTTTGACTTTCAGGTACAGAAATTATGAGTGGGATAGTCATTTCACCTGTCATCAAACTCTGTATATTATGACAGAAAATGTATTTGAATGAAGAAAAATGTTTTAAAACAGCTGTACAGGGTTTTAGTTTTTCACTTTAGTTCTTTTTGATCCATTTATCATCAGCACAATTCCTCTAATTACCAGGTATCTAGCTTCATAAGACTCACTGGAAAATAAAAATTAAAATAAGAAGTAATTAATTTCAGAATATTGAAGAAAACATGTGAATTATGTTTTTTGTTTATATGGATGCCTGGGATTTGAAGTCCAGTTTCAAGAGCTCAAATACATAGCAAGGGGCATTGGGGAAGGCTGGAAATGTCCAGTCACTAATGCACATGACATTACTTGGGCTACAAGTCGGGTCAGTAGGAAATATCAGGTATGCTACATATATGCATATGTGAATTGATGAGTGGAAGTTAAAAATGAGGGTTGAAAATCCAATGACTGCTGACGATCTTGATAGGAACAGACTTTTGTTTTCCTTTATTTTGTACAATAAACAATTATTCTGTTTTAACAGTTCTTTCTCTGTTGGTAAAGTATGTCCTATGAATTACTTCTCATCTGAAATGATGGTGGACTATGCATGCTTTACAGGTTTTATTGGAACATTGTTTCAATAAGGAAGGAAGATTCTGGATAGTGAAAAGTAATTATTTTCTTCATTCATGCCTTGGTTTTATGGTAGTCATTCATTATACCCTTTAATAAGACAGGAAAGGTATGTTAGGTCATTTTTTCCATTCCCCTTCCACTGTAGGATTTGCACTGCTTACAGCAGGTTTTTGTTGTGTACTTCTTCTTTGAGTGCCACTGGTGGGCATGTAAATTGCATCCTGCTGCTATATTTTTAAAGGTCCACCTGACAGGATCCCACCACCAACAAGACCTCTGCCAACAGTGCCCCCACATCGTTCAGTCCCTCCAGCAGACCCGCGGAAGAATGACAGGCAACCTAAACCTCCCCGGCCACCCACTGGTGACAAACCTTCCTATCCCGGAGCCAAGCCTAACATCTGTGATGGGAACTTCAACACTCTGGCTATTCTTCGCCGGGAAATGTTTGTTTTCAAGGTAGGAGGCTGTGAATTTTTCAATGTTACATCAAATGTCTACATTTCTCCTTTTTTTTTTTTTTTTTTTAAAGCAAACTCTCATTCATCATGACTCCACTTTCCCAGCCTGGTCACAGTTAGAAAGTTCAAGAAAGAAATGAAAAAATAAACATACACATGACTTAAATGTCTAGCAGAGGACTGCTGTAATGTTCTATTTTGGGAAAATACCCATGTCAGCAGAAACTGTAATGCCTCAAAATGTAAGAGTAAATAAATGCTGCATGTTATGGGGAGATAAAAAGTGTAAATCAACTCATGAATAATAGGAACGATTTTGTTGGGAATACAGCCACATCCAGACATAGAGTAGATATTGTGTCTTCAACTCCCCCCCCCCTCCCCCCCCCGCCCCGTGGAGCTATAATTTTAACTTTACAATTAGATCTGTCATTTAAAAAGGAAGTTTGTCATTGTGTTGTGGTTGCATTGAAACCACAATATCTAAGTAAAGGTCTTTGCCACAAAAATCTTATTGCAAATGTGTCATTCTTTATTTCCATTCATCTTCTTGCTCTGAGCTGAAAATGTTGTCTATACAACAAATCAAAATAAACAAACAGAACTGAAAGGCCATCTTTAGATAGAAGGACTTTGCTAAGACTCATGGACATTAAAGCTGTTTTGGGAGGATGATCTGCACTATGGTTTCCAGAAGGCATTGCATGTTGAAGAATAATTACAGAATCATTATTATTCAGTCTCTTAAATCTTAAACCAATTTGCTGACAGGTATTGCTGTGTGAATGTTTCAGAAACAAGCAACAGGCTAATCTATTATTTTCAGCTACTGGTGTGCCAGATTTGCTTAAGCAATACGAAGTGTGGGATCTTTGTTTTGTAAACATATGATATGATTCTTTTTCACTTCAACATTATAGGTAGAGAAGAAGGGCCTTTCATGTAAATAGATAACACTTTTCCCTTCAGCAATAGTGTAACTACAAGGGAAGTGCAATGAATTTGTCCCAAAATATGAAGCTCCCAGTTCAATTGCTTTTGTTGTCCTCTCTGATAGGACCCATTTCTCCCTTATTGTTTTCTTTTTATGTAATCTATGACTCCAGATAAGTCTTATTAGCAATGCTACCCATGCCTTCACTTTCTTTAGCATACCTGAAAAAATACGTACAAATAGCTTTACATGAATTCATTCAAAATTTTTGAGCTACCTTCACAAACCAATGGGCAGGTAATATTTTTCCCATAAACATCTAGGGATTTTGCCAGCCCTGGAGCTGTCAGCCCTTTCCATTTGAATAGATGGTATATCTTCAAACACTGGTAGGTCCTGAACCATCAGTCTTTTTATGACTAAAACTCAAAGGTTAAGGAAGAATCTAATTTTCTAACTTGACATTAAACAGGATATTAAAATACCTGCTTCAATCTCATGTCATCCACCTCAAGAGCAATAGAACATATTCTCATTTATTTTAGACATAAATCAATAAATAGTGAAATGCTATCCCACTAATAAAAAATTTCCTTTCTAGCCAAGTCTGTGTTCCTGGATAAATAGATTCACCACAATTACTAATCACTCTTACCTATTCTGATTGAAAATACAAATTAAGTTTTCTCCAAAAATGTTTGCTGCTTACTGCCTTAACACTACGTATTTACTATAAATTTTGTATGCTTACTAGTGTGCAAACTGCATTTATGTTCCAAAATTAAAACCATTCATGATCCACATGCTAATGAGGAAACACAGTAAACTTTGTCAGAGAAAAATGACCAGTAACAGAGTGTTTACAGATGTCATGTTTAGAGTCTGACTCTCCAAAATGATGTTACTGCAATCATAAAAGCAATGTGTTGGGAAGGGAAGAAAGAGATGACCTTTGTCCAGATTAATTTCTTTAAGGGTCTCATAGTTCGCCTTTTCTCCTCAGGGTACCTGGGAGCATGGCAAGGCATGACTTGGCTTAGCATGCTAAGCAATGGAGTTTACTTAAGTGTACCAATGACTCTGTAGTCTGAGTGTCTTCAAATATTTGAGTTAGTAGGCCTTAACTTTCTGGTTGGTACATTAATTTGCTAATGAAGATTTTTGTCTGCTAAAGGATTTTCATTACCTGTTTGAGATTTTTTATTTTTGGGGGGTGTGTGATCTGGTGGTGTATGGGGATGAGTATGAAAGGAGCAGGAGAGGGGAAAAGGAATTCGAAAAGTCAGGGGTGGTTAGTAATTTTCAACTTACTTTGTCGAATCTCAAGGGGGCAGGTTATAATGAAAAGCTCAGCATGTCAGACTGTAGCAGGAGCAGGGCAGGAATTAATTCTCAGAAAGTATAAACAGGAATAGGGACTGAATACAGGGAAAGCATCCAGCAATGGAAGAGTGAAGCTGGAGATTCTGTGGTCTGACACAACAAAAAAAACATACCTCTTTGCCCTTGTGCCTTAATGCTAGTACAAGGATAGACTGGGAAGTCATGAGTGATGGAAGGCATGACGATGAGAGCCAAGTACAGAGAGGTAGAGAAGAAGAAGGGATTGATGGCAGTACTGTACCAGGTGGAAACAATTAAAGAAGAATTATGACCTTCATTGGAAGAATTATTGCTGGATAGCTCCCAGATGAGTTAAATTAATAAAGTTGGAGGCTAATCATATGATATCTTTTTCTTTCCTTTGTCTTTATCCACAGGTCTGTAATGATTCTGTAGTGGCAGATTTTACTGCCTTCTGAATGGCATGTATGCCATGTACCAATTTCAAATTGAAAATAGCCGATTTTTTATCTCATGGGCAAGTCTCAAGCTCAGGAGCAAAATTTGTTTAAATAATCCTTGATTGCTTGGGAACTTAGCTAGAGAGCTGAAGAATGTGAGCCCTTTTAATTAATTAAATTCTAATTTAAACATAAAACTGAAGCACAAAAAATAACAGTTTGAGATACACTGTGGATTTTCATGGTAGATGACAAACAATATTAATTTCAAGAAGATTGTTTTTTCTTGGCTGTTGAGCTATTAGGTATACTTAAGAGTATCAGAATATTAGAAACAATTTCTATGTTCAGTCAAACTGATGAGCTTTGTCTGTGGTTTTAAGACTATCTGACATTCGCAAACGGATATATCCAGAGTAAAACTAAATAACAGTAAACTTAAAGGGAAAATGGAATTTACACTTATCCACCCCTTTTTATTGTTTTGCCATCACATCAAAGTAACAATCCTAGCAACACTTGATAAAAATTGTAGGGTTATAGAAATGAAATAAAGAGGAACTGTTCTTGATCTAACATGGACAGTAAACACAAAAGTAAAGCAATCAACTTGCTAAAGATTCCCCAAAGATCACCAAATAAAATTAGAATTTTGTGGATCAATTTTTTTTGGTAGAAATGATTGGATTGTAAGGAAAACAAAATTATTTTTCATCAAATGTACATGGATTACTGACATATAAATGTATTATCCCAAAAGGACTCCTTCCTGAATTCTTTAAATTAGATGCCCTTAAAATCCCCTTGCTAGCTATAAGGCTTGGGGACACATTATGCTATAAAAGAAAAATATCAGTTAAAATCAATGTATTGTTACTATTGGTTTCAGTTGTCATCAACTGATATTTTAAAGTGTATGAAGTTTGTCTTAATTAAATGCAGTTTTTTTTAATTACTGCTATTATTTAATACATGCTTGAACTGCTATAAGCAACCATCAGGACAGAAGAGTTTCTATGCCAAAATTCATGAGTGCCAAGTTTTTATCTTAAGATTCCACTTAGCTTCTGTATTCAAGCTTAATGCAATTACTATTTAGCTGTCACTCTCCTTTCCAATCTTTTCTCCAGCTATTTTCTCTGTCTGTTTAGTTAGAACTCCCCTGGGACACAGAAAATGGCTCAAAATGGAGGAAAACAAATTGGTCTTCCCTTCCTGGGAAAGTTGTGCAGAGTGCTATGACACAGTCTGCCTTTAATGGAAAAACCTTTCAGCCGTTGTTGCATGCAGCAATATGTGGTATCTGACAATACTGTCTTCTCCTTAAAGTCTCCTGAGAGTACCTCCAGAGCTACTGCATCATGAAAAGGAACCCCCTTGTCTAAGGTCACCAGAAAAGGTCCATTAGTGAAGAAGTTTACAGCATATATTTCCACTTTCTTCCTGGTTTCTGTGCAATTCACACTGCTTTTACTGTCTCCTGTAGCAAAACAGTTTTGAAGATAATCTAGGATGTCCTAACAATAAAGGTGCTTAAGTTAAGACCTTCTGAATCTTTTAAACAGTTAAAAATGTTCAGGGGAGCCAATGGTTGCACAGAATGTATTATCTCTTAAAGGATGCAGATCAAGTAACACTGGTTGCTTATTCTGTTATTTTTGAGGCATGTATAGCTTGTGTTTGACTCTACATGCTGATTGTTCCTTGGCAACAAAATTAGCTCTAGCTCTGCTTCAGCAATCTGTGTTACTGTTGTTAATATCCTTTTTTGTCCTTTTCAGTTTCACAGGTTTTAGCAAAATCCTTAGTTTTTCAAACAGGTTACATCTAGAAAAGTAAGCACTAAATGTGTGGAACTTGTCCTGCGTACTCAGCAAGTTAGAGGGACAGGTCACTGCTCTTTGTTTATGTGACACAGGTTTTTGCTTCGCAGAAGAACATCTCATAGAGGTTGCACTGGTCCTTTCTTTGTTCAGTGCTAAATCCTTAAGAAAACAATGAATGGATCCTATATAATCTATAATGATTTTAGTATTCATGTGGGAAAAGTTAACTCACTCCTTGAAGAACAGCATTTTTAACCACTGTCATATACTAGGGTGTTTGTTGAAATGTAATGTAAGTATAAGTGAAAGAAGCTTGTCCATCAGACAAATAGCATTTACAGTTCAGAGAAATGTGCTCTGAAATGTTAACATTACAGATGGTAGAATATGAAACCAATTTTAGGAAGGCCTTAACAGGCTGTGTTTTACTATTTTATAGTAATTTCTCCACAAC